GAAAATTGGGGCTAATGTCTCCTCTTGTGCACAAATGGTCTCAACGTATGATCCGCTCAACCTACTGATTCTGTTTGCAAAACGTTCGTTTAGATGATTTTCATCCATTCATGTTGTTAAAGACCCTTTACTCATTTTTATACAAAAGGACGATTTGTGCAAAATTTCTCAAGTGCCATATGCTTTGATTGATATCATTTCTTTGTTACGATTACTAACCTTTGTCATACATAATTTATTATTAATAAAATCAAGTCGTCATTATAAGAATATTTGATTTAACTAAAATGGAAGATATTATTGGAAAATGTCCCATTATACAATATACTCAATAAGATGTGTATATATACATGATTAAAGAGATTTACAATGAAAGGAAACGAATAGAAATATCCCTAAAATCAAGCTAATGAAACATGCTACACATTCAATTAGGAAAGATTGATGAGAAATCTCTAAACTGGATTTGTCACGGGCACATGATCCGTGATCTCGTGCATGGGATCCCGTTAGGATATGGAAATATCAAGTTGTCCAACCGACCGTTGAAAATGAGTTACCAAGACAAGAACTAGCCGAATGGTGGTGGGCTTGATGACTGGGCTAAAATTTTTAGTGCAGTCAACCCCACTTTTCTGTTGGAAGCCCTTGGCCACAAGGCGGGCTTTGAACCGGTCAGTAGAGCCATCAGATGTTATTTGGTTTTGTATACCCATTTTGTGAGAATTATATTCCAAGAGTGAGGCTGAGGACAAAGAGTCCATGTTCCATTACGAATAAGAGCATCATGTCCTTGTTGCATGACATTCATCCAACGAGGGTCAGTTTTGGCCTTGGTAAATGTCGATTGGTTCCACTTGAGGGAGCACGACACGTAAAGCAGTTATGGGATGTTTGGTGGAATAATACAAGGTAAATTTCGTAAATTGCTTTGGACGAGAGGTTCCTGTTTTGGATCGGGTTTGCATGGAATGATGATGTAGATGAGGTATAGAGGGGATCGTGAGATCTTCAGAGAGAGAAGATGTAGATGTTATTAAAGGTGATGAACTATTGGAGAGAAGTTCGGGCGAGAAATTTAGAAAGGGTACATTTTGAGGTAGGACATTACCTAAATTTGAATTGTGAGAGATTTGTGGAGATAGAGGTATATTAGGAACAAATGATGGTAGAAAAGTAGAGATACAAGGGTTATTAGCAAAAATTGTGGAGGAAAAATGAGAGAGTATTAACTGTGAAGGAACAAATGGCGAATCTTGAGTAGGCACGAGCGATGAGGGCTGCACCAATCCAGGATAAGAGTCTACATCAAATACAACGTGACGAGAAATATGAACTTTTTGGAGAGTGAGATCAAAGCAGCGGTACCCCTTTTGACCCGAGCAATAACAAAAAATATACATGATTTGGTCCTAAATTCTAGTTTGTTGGTTGTATAGGGGCATAGAAGAGGATAGCAAGTACATCTAAAATTTTAGTTTCTGGTATAGGCTGATATTGGCCAAAACTGGAATATGGAGCCAATTAATTAGGTAAACTGCCTTGTTAAAGGCATCAATCCACAATCATTTGGAAAGTTTAGATTGGTAGAGAAAGGTGAGTCCCATTTCAAGTATGTGGCGTAGCTTTCTCTTTGCTAAGCCAT